GAGGGGATTAAATTCCTTAAAGAAACACTGTGAATTTAGTGGGCTCGGATTAAATTCTGTTTCATTTACATTTATGTTATTTTATCTTCTCCATAATTATTTTACAAATACAGCTAAACAACAAGAATACCTTGAATTGGTTAAGAGGATGTAAAGGCTATCGATGTTGCTTGAAGAAACCAAAGACATGAACCTTGTCAGTCTCCTTTTCTCCAAAATTCTGGTAGTGTTCTTTCTTTTATATAAAGCTTTGATGATACTCTGCACTATAGAATGAGAAGTCAGAAATCGATTGATTACAATAAGTTAATACAACAGTAGGTTTCTTCAGGGACATCCGTTAAAAATTTGTCAACAGTTGCTAATCGCTGATTTCTTACTCGAAATCCGAATTGAAAGTCTGCCACAATTGGCTCCAAATTTGTCTTGTCTTATATTTGAGGGAGAGAACCGTTATGTGAGCCGTATGGAGAGATTTGAGGAAGGGACCGCTCTTTTATCTTGGGCTTCCAAGAAACGGTTGGACTCTCCAATAAATGACCCAAGAAATGTTTCAAACAATGGTTGTTTCTTGTTTAATACAGTTTTTTTTATTTATTGAATGTGAAGGAAGAAGGTAAAAATGCCAAAAAAAAGGAGATAAAAGATAAATACCCAAGAAACCTTCTCAATGCCCAGCTTTATATATATATAGATAGATTCCGATTTTCATCCTTGTGTTAATGGACTAAGAACATACCTTCAATTAAATTAAGTGGGCAATTTTAGTCCTTAATTCACCTTGTTAGTTTTAGATTCTTTTTTTAATTGCCACATTCGTTTGTACTTATTTGTGTATATAGCGAAACAAAACAAGCAAGAAAGCAAGGAATTTGTGCACTTGAAACCTTTCCTATAACCCATTTTAAACCCCACTGCCATCGATCCAGATGAAAAGCATTACTCTATTGTCTCTTCATACAATGACCAATTTTCCATTGGCACTCCACTGCAAACACTCTCCAGAGTCGAATACCACAGACAAATAGCCACCCTATCACCTTCCCGGCTCCTTCCTTTAGTCCTTAACTTCATCTGGAATCTTTATTCTCATATTTGCTGGGAATTAATTATAGCTTGTTTTCTTATACCGAGTTCAACTTGACGTTAGCATATACTTTAAGTAATAAGAACACTCTTAAGACTAGGTTAGCTTAATAGGTTGCAGCTAACGTGATCTGTTCTTATTTGGAGGTTTGGGGTTGGAGAGGTTAGCCGGAGAGAAAGAGAGAGCGTGTGTGTGCATGAAAAGTAGAGATGGAGTAAATAAGGTGTAAACTCTAATCAGTACGAGTATAATGTTTTCTCTGTCACACCAAGTGCAATTGTTAGTTCCCGGGAGAAGTTGTTAGGTATCTAAAGCTAAGAGCGTTAATTGTGTTAGATTAGTCAGAAAAGCAACAATTTTTCTATCTTATACTTTTTCGGTTATTTATAATTCACAAAATTTGTTCGAGTGAAAATTCGAGTTAGTTGTTCAGAGGCTTTGTAGAATCCTGGAGCAATTCTGTCATAATCCCTGTAGCAACAAAAATGGGAGACTTAAATTCCTTAATGGCAGTGATTACACTATCAAGACCTAATTATTTCGTCCTATTTTTCTAACAAATTGAAAGTTAGTCCATTAACACAAGAATGAAATCAGAATTAGGCAGTAACACTTTATTTTGAGTTTAAAATGATGAATTAAAACATTTTTAAGTCTTAGCTAAAAATCATTCGGTAGTACAAAATTCAATTGTTACTTGATATGACGATCATGAGTGATAAGTGCTTTTCTAAAGGGTACCACACCCTAGAACAAAATTCAATTGCCATATGATTTGATGTGCATATTTCGCACTGGATGCGTAAAACTGTATTAGACATAACAATTATTCGTTTCTTGGCAAAAGATTATTGGTCGTGGCATAGGTGAAGGGCAAAAACTACTATAAACCACTTGAGAGGACCAATGCAATGATTGGTATGGGATATGTGACAAAGAATGAGATGAAGATAATAAAGAATGCGGGCTCTATATCATTAGTAACACAAGATTATGAGTAAGCCCATCATAAAAAGGAAACACTTTTCTCTAGTGCTACTATATAAAAGCACAAGTTCGTAATAAATGACGAAATTAGCCGTAGTGAAACTTAAACAGTACATCGCATGTTTTTTATACGAGGTACTTTTTTTTTTCTTCAAAAATTCAAATTTTAGCTATAGGTAAGTGGGATACAAGAAAGATCATAGAAGTCGATTCATAATGAATATCCACTTAAAGAATAATATATAGATTTAAAGCATCTTGTAGCATATATTACATAGATATTTTTGTATTTATACTATACACAACAACAATAATAAGCCCAGTAGTTTTCTACAAGTGGAGTCTGGGGAGGGTGAGATGTACGCAGCCTTACCCCTACCCTAGAAGGACAGAGAGACTATTTCCGATAGACCATCGGCTGGAGAACGAATGACATAAGTAATGGCAACAAGAAGGAATAGCAACAAGATAAAAATACTGAAGCCACGAAAGCAGTTAAACTCTAGGTAATAATAGTAATCTATGAATAAAAGGATATCATACTAACATTAATGCTAGCGAACTGGGAAAGAAAGACAAAGAGATACGCTCGACTATCTACTAGCCTTCTACCCTAATCCTCGACCTCCACACTCTCCTATCTAGGGTCATATCCTCAGTCAACTCCAGCTGCGCCATGTCCCGCCTAATAACCTTGCCCCAAGACTTCTTAGGCCTACCTCTACCCCTCCTGATACCCACCGAGGCTAACCTCTCGCATCTTCTGACTGGGGCTTCTATACTTCTCCTCTTAACATGTCCGAACCATCTCAACCTAGCGTCCCGCATCTTGTCCTCCACAGAAGCCACTCCCACCATCCCCAATAACTTCATTCCTAATCTTTTCCAACCTGGTATGCCCACACATCACCTTAACATCCTCATCTCAGCTACTTTTATCTTCCGAACATGAGTGTTCTTGACCGGCCAACACTCTGCACCATACAACATAGTCGGTCTAACTACAACCTTGTAGAACTTGCCTTTTAGTATTAGCGGCACATTTTTATCACACAAGACACCAAAAGCGAGCCTCTACTTCATCCACCCAGCTCCGATACGGCGCGTAACATCCTCATCAATCTCCTCATTACCTTGTATTATAGATATACTTGAAACTACCTATCTTGGGGATAATTTGTGTTTCAAGTTTCACCTCTATGTCCGTTTCCTAGGTAACGTTGTTGAATTTGCACTCCAAGTATTTCGTCTTGGTCCTGATCAACTTGAAACCCTTAGATTCCAGGGTCTGCCTCCAAACATCCAGCCCCTCATTAACATCACCCTGCATCTCATTAATTAGAACTATGTCATCAACAAATAACATACACCATGGCACCTCTCCTTGAATGTGTTGCCTCAATGCATCCATCGCCAAGGAAAATAGAAATTGGCTAAGAGGTGAACCCTGGTGCAACCCCATCACAACCGAAAAGTGTTCTGAGTCTCCTCCCCCCGTCCTAACCTGAGTCTTAGCTCCATCATACATGTCCTTAATCACCCTAATATAGGCTGTCGGGGCCCCTTTAGCTTCCAAGCATCTCTCTCGGGACCTTGTCATAAGCTTTTTCTAGGTCAATAAATACCATATACAAGTCCTTCTTCATCTCCCTATATCGCTCTACCAATCTCCTCACCAGATGAATAGCTTCCATAGTCGAACGTCCCGATATGAATAGTTTTCATAGTCCCGCCTAATAACCTTGCCCCAAAACTTCTTAGGCCTACCTCTACCCTTCCTGATACCCACCGAGGCTAACCTCTCGCACCTTCTGACTAGGGTTTCTATACTTCTCCTCTTAACATGCCCAAACTATCTCAACCTAGCCTCCTGCATCTTTTCCTCTACATAAGCCACTCTCACCATCCCCAATAACTTCATTCCTAATCTTATCCAACCTGGTATGCCCACACATCACCTTAACATCCTCATCTCAGCTACTTTTATCTTCCGAACATGAGTGTTCTTGACCGGCCAACACTCTGTACCATACAATATAGTCAGTTTAACTACAACCTTATAGAACTTACCTTTAAGTCTCAGCAGCACATTTTTATCACACAAGACACCGAAGCGAGCCTCCACTTCATCTACCCAGCTCCGATACGGTGTGTAACATCCTCATAAATCTCCTTGTTACCTTGTATTATAGATCCAAGCTACTTGAAACTACCTATCTTGGGGATAACTTGTGTTTCAAGCTTCACCTCCATGTTCGTTTCCTGGGTAACGTTGTTGAATTTGCACTCTAAATATTCCGTCTCGGTCTTGATCAACTTGAAAACCTTAGACTCCAGGGTCTGCCTCCAAACATCCAGCCTCTCATTAACACCACCGTGCATCTCGTTAATCAGAACTATGTCATCAGCAAATAACATATACCATGGCACCTCTCCTTGAATGTGTTGCCTCAATGCATCCATCGCCAAGGAAAATAGAAATGGGCTAAGAGTTGATCCCTCGTGCAACCCCATCACAACCAAAAAATATTATGAGTCTCCTCCCCTGTCCTAACCCGAGTCTTAGCTTCATCATACATATCCTTAATCATCCTAATATAGGTTGTCGGGACCCCTTTAGCTTCCAAGCATCTCTCTCGGGACCTTGTCATACGCTTTTTCTAGGTCAATGAATACCATATACAAGTCATTTTTTATCTCCCTATACCACTCCACCAATCTCTTCACCTAATGAATAGCTTTCATAGTCGAACGTCCCGGTAAGAAACCGAACTGGTTCTCAGAAATGGACACACTGCTCCTCACCCTCACTTTAACCACCCTCTCCCAAACTTTCATCGTATGACTAAGCACCTTAATTTATCCTCCTATAATTATTGTAACTTTGGATATCTCCCTTGTTCTTATACAACGGAATCATCCTACTCTACCTCCATTCTTCGGGTATCTTCTTCATCCTAAAAATGACATTGAACAACCTTGTGAGCCACTCCAAACTTGCACTACCCGCATTCTTCCAATATTCCACAGGAATTTTGTCTGGCCCGGTTGCTCTACCCCTGTGCATCTTGCGCATAGCCCCCTCGACCTTCTCTACTCTTATGCGCCTACAATACCCGAAATCCCGGTGATCCTCGGAGTGCTCCAAATCGCGCAACACAATATTCCTATCATCCTCTTCATTCAGGAGTTTATGGAAGTATGTCTGCCATCTTCGTCTAATTTGAGCATCTTCCATCAAAACTCTACCTTCCTCATCTTTGATGCACTTAACTTGATCCAGATCATGGGCCTTCCTGTCTCTCACACTGGCTAGCCTGTATAACTTCTTATCCCCGCCTTTGGCCCCAAACTCTTCATACAGATGCTCAAATGCCGCAATCTTACCCGTCGTAACCGCTAACTTTGTCTCCTTCTTAGCCCTCCTATACCCCTCCCCGTTCATCCTCGTTGCCTCCTCGTCCATGCTTTCTACAAGCTTCAAGTACATCGCTTTCTTAGCTTCTACTTTCTCTTGTACCTCCTCACTCCACCACCAGTCACCTTTGTGGCCACCAGTGAAATCCTTCGAGACCCTTAACACCTCTCTCACAACTAATATAATACACTCCGTTGTCGTAGTCCACATACAACTCGCATCCCTACTGCTCCTCCAGGCTCCCATAGCCATCACCTCCCCCCCAGCTCCTGCGCTTTGTCATAAGTCAAATTAATATTTTAACACCATGCCAATCAAATAGTGTCACAAAAAAAAGCAACATATTTTATCCCAAAAACAATGTAAGATTCATTTTGTTAAGAAAATGAATTTTGGATCAAATTTCAACCTCAAAGCCTAATTCATGACATGAAGATTGTCAAAGTACTACAAATTAAGCAAACTGATGCTCGGATAAAACTAGAGCATAGAAAACATAACACGAGGCAAAAATTGAAAAACATAATAATAGGGATGATTTTGGCTCTAATACCAAGTTACATATCCATATGTTCTCTCTTCATTTTACTGGGGGGGGATCCACTCCTTAGGGTGGGGTGGTATGTCACCCGCTAGATTGATAAAATTATTATATATCTATGTTAAAATTTTCTTAAATTAGGTTAAATATTTGATCTTGCCACCCCTAGTCGCAAACTAAACAAAGGTGCAATGATTGAGATATCTTTTTTGTGCTTTTATTTTCTTTTGTCTCAATTATTTCCCTTTCCTGTTATCTCCCAATTTTCTATTTGTCATTTTCTTATTTTTTATATTTCTCTTTCCGTTGTTCTATTGGGTTTTCTCTAACTTCTAGCGAGAACAGTCAAAAAAGAGACACCAAAATTTTAAAATCCTATAAATATAAGCATTTCTCTTAATCTGAAATTTGCGAGTTTTCTTCTTTCGAAATTTCTTTTGTTTATTATATCATAAAAATTGGTGTTATTCTTTGGTTGTTAAGTTCAATTTAAATCACTTTACTATTAAATTATGATGAATTTTTGTAAATATTGCTTAGATAAAATATGAAATTTATCATTTTTATTTTTGAAAATCTATATTTCATCGAATTCTATATTTACTTATTAGGGGTGTAATTTACCAAGTGAAAATATATTTTTTTCTTGTTTTAATTAGTGTAATTTTCTAATTCAAGATGTTATTCTACTTGCGCAAATTTATTTTAAATACCTAGTGAAAGTATTGACTTTACTTATATTGTTAATAATAAAGGTATGATTCCGGTATAAAATGTTAATTACATTTGTCTTGATATTGAGATGTAATTTTCATATGCAAATAAAAAACGTCTATTAACTTGACCCAAATAAATTCAAAAGAAACGGAATCGAGTCGAATACATATTTCTAACAAACTCTATATTAATTATTACAAGGTGTATATCAAAGAAAATTATGGCACCCCGTCATCATCAAATCCTAAATCCGTCTCTGATTTTACTTGGAGGCTAATTTTAAATGTTTAGAAACAAATTGGTGGTTTAGGTAATGGAGTTATACAAAAGGATTTTTGTGCAAGATAAAGATATTCCTTTAAACTCATAATAAAATAATAATATTTCTATAATTTATTTTGAAGCCATGTAAGTTCTCTAAGGGCCACTAGCAAGCAAATTTTCATATGAAAACTCAAAAGTTTTATGCGCAATCTGCTTCACAGCAATGCTCCTTAATCCGATCCATTCTCATTTCAATTTCATAATAAAAAATCAAAAAGTATATAAGTTAAAGTAGGGATTTTGCAGAAAAATAACCGAATCCGGGTAGATATAAGGAAATGCCAGAATCTTACAAATAATCTTTGATTTATTTGTGGGAAAGTGGATGTCTTTATTCCCTGATAAAGTTGCATGATGTGCCTAATCAATGTGGGGTTTGTTGTTTTTTTTNTTGAGATAGAAGATTGATCAAGGAGCAGTGCGAATAGAAAAAACAGATTAAAGCATCTATAAATCTTTTTTTAATCTACGTTTCTACATCATAAAGACGACCAATTAGAAGCACTAAATATGTAAACATTTGTTTGGTGTTAACTTCTATGGTATGAGCTTCGTTAATCACCATTTACAATTTACTAGAAATGGAAATATTTGTTTGGAGTAATTGAATACTTGGTGATTGGCTGATTGCTCTGTTCCTCTAGCGTGAAAAGATAAGCTTTGAACTTTGGGAAATGGAAACTAAATTAGAAATGGAACAGTTGAGTCAGAGACATTTCCATTGGTTTTCTTTGAAAGTTACACAAAAAGACACTATGGTCCCCCCCTTTATTGCATTTGTTTATCTTTTCTCTAATCGCAGAGATTAAACTATGATTAACCTTTATCTCTTTCACTCTTCACATAAAAAATCATGTTGGTTGGAGAATTGTAAAATTGAATTCACAAAGTATTCCTACAAAAAATACTTCTTGTTGTTGCTCATGTTATTTCCGGCAGCAAGAGTGGGTTGCTTTAGTGGTGAGCACCCTCCCCTTCCAATCAAGAAGTTGTGAGTTCGAGTCACCCCAAGAGTAAGGTGAGGAGTTCTTGGAGGAAGGGAGTCGATGGTCTATCGGACCCCACTAGTGAGATTATACTATATTGTTGTTGTTGTTGGTCATGTTATTTCCATTGGTACCGACAATATTAACTTATATTCATTGAAATTTAAGCTGTCATTTCAAACCCACACCACTTTGCTCTTAACTCTTAAGCTAGCTTCTTGTTAGTTGACAACCAACCAAGAAAAATGTGAGAAAAGGAGAAAAGAAAAGGGAAAAAAAAGAGCCAAAATATGGGCTAAAGAAGCCCTTAGAATAATCCTCACTTTCTTTCTTTTTCCTTTTTCTTCTTTAAACTTTCATTCTGAAATAATTCAAAACACTCTATACAGCCTTCACAACTTTTTTACAATTAAATTCATTTAACTGTTTAAATCTTATATTTTGATGTCATACCAGTATTAACATAATAAAATAATGGTAACATGTTATACTTTGTGAACACACATTGGTGTGCACCATGTCACTGTTAAAGTGAAGCCCCACTTTATTTCCTTTGTATGCTTCTCTTTTGTAGTTTTGTGTTACTTTGCCTATTTTCTAACGACCCCACCCTTCTTTTTTCTTCTTTCTTAGTAGTAGTTAACAGTTGGTTGCCAAAAATACTCAAATTTTTTAAACCTTTATTTTTTCCTACTATTATTGCACCATCATCTTCTTCTTCTTCCCTTTGTTTATTACTCCTAATCTTTTTCTATTTCTATATTATTTTGTTGCACAGACCTTAATGAACAAGTATCCCTATTATACTATTCGGTCTCTGTAACAACAAGTGCAGAGACCAAGAATAATGAAGGCCTTGAATAGCAACAACGTTATCAAGAAACAACTTTCCTTAGTTTTTGTAAAGTTTGCAGTTTGTTTTCTGTTGTTTGGGCTTGCCTACCGTCTGTTCTTGTCCAATTTTCAACAGTTTCCTCAGATTGAGGTGAATGACACAGCTTTTGTTTCCGACAACACATTGTCGCCGCCGGCCACCATGAATCAGCCGCCGGTAACGGGTTATCTTCCAGAGAACGTAATGGACCGAACTTTGCAAAATGGTTGGTTAATATTCTTCTTCTTATCTTGCTTTTTCTGGCCATGCATGAACGACCACTTATTTTAAAAATTGATTCTTGAAAGCTCCCTTTTTTATATTTCTTTTTAGCTTATCATATTTGTATGCTTGGAATTTCTGGTATCAAATGATGTGAATAATTTCCCTTCACTTCAGTCCAGTTTGTGATTAATTTGTGTTAGGAGGAACAAGTTTTTTTAACAATTTGTGTTATGTTCTGAGGAACCCCTTAAGAAAAGGAGAAACTGAACATTCTCCATTAAAAACGGATTAATTTATTAGGATAACAATGGACAGGGGAATTTGTGTTCTCTTTTTTTTTTTTTGGGTGCTAAAATAACTGAAAATAAGTAGGACTTAGAAGCACTTGTTATTTCTGGTTTATGATATTGTCTTTGGCTGATAGGTAGTGATTCTAGTGAATGTTAGTATGTACTACTACACAGAAAAAGGAACAACTTTGAATTAATAATTGGATTTGCACTTTGAGCTTGGTCTCTGGTGTATGAGTTCTGAAAAGCTGTGTTTTTTTTTCTTCTTTTTTTTGGTTACAGGAAAATGTAATTTATTTATAGGAGATTGGGTGTCAGATCCCAACGGTCCTGTTTACACTAACAGTACTTGCTATACAATTGAATCTCACCAGAATTGTATGAAAAATGGGAGACCTGATACTGATTATCTTTACTGGAGATGGAAACCCAGAGACTGTGAGTTACCAAGATTCAGCCCCAAGAAATTCCTCAATTTGATGCGGAACAAATCATTTGCCTTCATTGGCGATTCAATTATGCGCAATCATGTACAGTCATTGCTTTGCATTCTTTCACAGGTACATTTCAAGCTCAAATAAAATCAGTGGAACTAACTGCTCTAATTGTTCTCTGCTTTCCAGTTTTGTTTTGTTATTCGTCATTGATATTTTTAATTCAAATGCTGAGAGCTGGCTAATGCAACCACAAGAATCATGATTCATGACTTAGATGTTTTTTCTTAACTACTTGCTAACATCAATAATTGCTCTTAAATGGTCAATTTGGATCTCAACTAAATACTCCCCCTCCAATTTTACTTGTCCACTTTGAATTTTTTGCGTCTCTTAAGAAATAATAATTTTAATATATATTTTACCATATAACTCCTAATAATGATAGCATTTTAAAAAGTCTTGGGAAATAATTTTGAAAATGAGTAATTAACGATAAAGGTAAAACAGGAAAAAAAATCATCTTTCTTTCTCTTGATTTAGTATAATGGACAAATAAAAGTAAAAATATATTTTTAATATAGTGGACAAGTAAAAGCAAGATTTTTGTGGATTTTAGTGTATTTCATTAAAATTTGTGGGACACTCATGTTTTATAAGCTGTTGGCTTATCCAGTTGTATCTCACAAATCATAATTAGGATCTTTTGTGTATGAAGTGGGCATGCCTCTGCAAATTGGCTTTATCAGTAGTGTCACTCTCAGTTACATGGATACTGGACCCGCAAGCCAGCTTGTAAAGGCTTTTTAGTTGTAACATTTGTTTTGAAGTTGTTAATAAGTTAATTCAAACATAAAATCA